AAAGAAAGTATGCCTTTAGACAGTTATCTTGCGATGATAGTTTGAAAGCAAAATTTGGCAACATGGAATCGACACAATTTTGGATTTCAATAAAAGATGAATATCCCCTTCTAAGTGATAAGGCTCAGCAGATTCTAATTCAATTTCCGACGTCGTATTTTTGCGAAGTTGGGTTTTCGGCGGTCGCTGTAATAAAAAGCAAGTATAGAGCAAAAATCAACGTGGAAAAGGAAATGAGGGTGGCCGTGTCCAGTTTAATTCCACGATTTGAGAAAATGTGCAGTGATTAGCAGGCTCATCCATCACATTAATTATTAAACATTAATTAAATGTTAATAAAGTAAAAAAATAATGAAGATACACGAGTTTTATTTATTATTATGACTTACTTACGAATAGTAATACTTAGGGTAGGGCGCCATGGAAATATTATAATTTACAAAGGGCGCCGCGACTAGGAAAAGTTTAGGAACCACTGTTTTAATGATACTCCAGCCAAGTTGCGAAAGCGAGGTCAAGCCAACACAATACAAATTTTTATTTTTCACTACTCTTCGCTACATTACTACATACTTAGTTAATGGTTTTTGAAACTTACTACTTTTCCTATTATATAGTGATCTTAGGTCGTTTAACGCATAGAAAAGCTTGATAGTTTATTCTTATAAATGAAGACCAAGATGTTGTGGCTTAAGTTTTGGTCGCAATTCCCTTTCAATGTATGAAAATGGTCTGACTTCGTTTTCGTAACTTGATCGTGTGATCTAGTTAGACGCAGTTTGTCCGAAGTCCTCTGCTATAATAGTTATGATAATTCCTAGCATCTGACCTTGGACTTAGTACATTTTCAGACGCTTCGCCAGTATCGTAGTTGACATTGTCAACGAGTTTTTTTCATTCTCAGTTCTAAGCTACAACTCGTCAATGATATAAGTGAGGTCATTCCATCGACAAATTTGCTACCGGCACATCCGCCTACTCCCTACACTCTCATCTCACTCCAGACTTTTTTATATTCGATTACTTTAAAGTTGTGCCAGTTTTGACTGGTTTTGTGGAGTTTTATCACACCTGCTTGTTTCTTCTCCCCCTCCCTCTCCATCTTGATTTGCTGGAATTCCTTATCAGACTCGGACCAATTT